GAGGGAGATGGGAAGGAGTCTACTTGCTTCCATTGGGACCCCAAGTGCAATAGTTTGTATCTAGCAGGGAAGCGATCTTTGTATAGAGTCATGAGAGAGAAGATGCTAGTGTGACAATACCGTCGTAGTCCAGCAGATGAACTACTCACACCTTATCATGGGAGCAGCGAATCAATGGCCGACGCGGAAGGAGGGGAATTAACCCGACAATGGGGTGCTGACGCAGGGCTGCAGACACTTTCGTCTCGGATCGCGAAGTGGCAGCATTGAAGAATTGCACGATAATTGGACCATCGACCAGGGGCATAAATAGACCATGCGGCGAATGGAGAGACCCAATGTCCCTCTATGGGGCCCATGTGGGTTGGCCACACATCCTATGTGAAAGGCTGTGTGGGCCTCATTTGTGCCGTCATGGCTACCCAGACCCATGTTTGGCAGGTGTGGCATCCTCTAAAAGTTATGCTCAAACCTACTTATATTTTTTTCTAAGGTACAAAAGTGCATGTAATTTCGGAAAACATAGACTTGCAACTGGCCATATGCAACATGGTTTGTCCAAATAAAGCCATAACATTGCATGTTTTGATAAGGAAATGTCATGAAAACTTCAAATAAAACCTGCATATGTTTTGGTTGTATCAGAAAGACCCATGCGAGTTGTCATTGTGGCAACCCATAGTCCAGTTGTTCAGTTGTGATTAAGTGTAGCCTCTTATTCTAGGTGGATATTCAAAGTTAATCAGTCTCTAATGAGAACATTGGTATTATCAAAATAATGATTGGAACATAGGATGACTCAATGCATGTCTAAGATCTGCTGAACGGTTGTTTCAATTAATTTTCGAACAAATCCTGTAGGTGTGGAAAAATCGAATTCGGCAAAAGGTGCTTTGGGACCCCGAAGGGATAGGGCCTGCAATACCTCGTGCAAAGGTAGTTGCTCGAAAGAGATAAGGATATGCACGCTATCTCTAAGATCATATATTTACAAGAGATATACTCCTAGGAGTAAATTGCATAAAACCACCAGTTTGAGGGCTAGGTTTGCGAAAAACACTAGGATACAGTTTCTCTGCAGAAAACACCACATCT